GATTTACTTAAGTGTATTAAAATAAAGACTTTTATTTATCTTGAAATAAATAAATATATAGACGGTATATAATAAATGGTATAGAAAATGTACTAAAAGTTATTGCTGCTCCACAAAATCTTCCCCCTAACCCTCCCAAAAGACAAAGAGGCATCAGACATTAATCACTTACAAACATTGCATTCCCATTTCAGGATCATGCAATAAATATTAAAGTAAGACCATTCAAGATTGTAGAAAACCGTATAAAGAATCTTAGGAAGAAGTTAAACATAAAATAAGGTCACTCAAGTTCATGGAGTTGACCTAAGTCTTATATTAATGTTAGTTTTGTAAACTAATTTACTGACAGTTGCACTTGTGCTTTGTAATAATTCATGTTGTATAAGGCTTTTTTCCTTAGTCCCATACAACTTTTTAATTTAAGAATCTAAAACAATATGGTCAGCAGTATTCCTGTTAAATAAATGTTTTAAGAAGTTGTTCATGACAGGTCTACTAGGATGTAATTACAAACAGATAGTATTTTTCTTGAAATTATCCTGAAGAAAAAAACAAACTAAAACCAACCCCCTCAAAAAACAGCATCAGCCCTAATCATGTTGCTTCTATACCAGCCTGAAAGGACGATCTGGGGAATTACAGACCTGTCAGCTTAACTTTGGTTCCGGGAAAGTTGATGGAGCAGGTCCTGCTGAGCTGTATTATGAGGCACATGCAGGACAGCCAGGTGATCAGGCGTGGTCAGCATGGGTTCATGAAGGGCAGGTCCTGTTTGACTCATCTGATCTCCTTCTGTGACAGGGTGACCCGCTTACTGGATAAGGGAAAGGCTGGTAGGCAACTACCTTGACTTTAGCAAGGCATTTGACACTGTTGGCCACGGCATTCTCCTAGAAAAGGTGGCTGCCCCATGGCCTGGATGGGCATATTCTTGCCTGGATTAGGAACTGGTTGGATGGCCAAGTCCAAAGAGTTGTGGTCAACGGAGTTAAATCCAGCGGGCGGCCAGTCTCGAGTGGTGTCCCCCAGTGCTGGGACCACTCCTGTTTAACATCTTTACCAGTGACCTGGGTGAGGGGATGGCATGCACCCTTAGTAAGTTTGCAGATGACACAAAACTGGGAGGAAGTGCTGATCTGCTGGAAGGTTGAGAGGCTCTTCAGAGAGATTTGGACAGGCTGACTCGCTGGACCAAGGCCAATCGCATGAGTTTCAATAAGGCCAAATGCCGAGTCCTGCACCTTGGCCATAACAACGCCCAGCAGCGCTATGGGCTTGGGAAGGAGTGGCTGGAGAGCTGCCAGGCAGAGAGGGACCTGGGGGTGTTGGTGGACAGTCGACTC